TAAATACATTGTACATGTAGCACACAAAGCAACCTTTGGCATGTAATATTGGGTTTTATTTTTATTCCCTTTGCATAGATTTATACACATGGCCGTAGATTTGTATACAAGGTATAGATTTGTTCTGGTTTGAGTTCTGTATAATAGTCAAAACAAAATCCATCTGAAAGTCTCTCTTCACTGCCAAAAATATATAATTCCAAATGCAATGGTAAATATGCTTCGGCCTTTTGAATAGAAGCCAACGCACTTTATACTGTCCAAGCACCCAATACGTTGCACAATATTAAAACAACAAGATATGCAAATATCGTCATTAATTTTGTGAAATGTGTGCGTTTATTATTTAAGGACATCATCAGCAGCAGCAACATAAGCAATGGTCAATCCACTGCTGGATGAAGGCAACATTATCACCATTTCCTCACAGTCAGACATTGCTCTGTTCATTATGACTGTTGCACACGCGCTGATCTCATTGCTCCATCTCCACAGTAGTCATCCTCTTGGGCGTGTTTCTTTCTTGAGTTGTCATTCAATTACAAGTGTTGCTGATTGGCTATCACCCTTTCTAACGATGTGTCCGGCCCAGCCCTCGCTTTTATTCACAGTGAACGAGTTGTTCTCTGATCCGTGTGTCCCTCGTCCCTTCTCGGTGTAATTCCTGGCATGTATTATGTGTGTCCTTTCATTTTGTGCATCAATTTCTGTTCCAGTGTGCATGTTTCTGCTCCACCGTCGGTAATTTGCTTAGATAAACATTATGTTGTATTTATTTTCCCGTATGTGTGCTTCCTAAATTATTTTCTATAATGTATCAAACTTGACTTATGTATTTTCCTACCTCTGCATCATTTAATCAGCACGTCTAATATTATTAACATTTTCTCCCTTTATGTTTATGCATTTCTATGTCTAATCCAATGTTCATAACATTTTTTTTTTACTTATATACTGTATTTTATTTTATTTCTCCTTCATGGTAGTCTTGACCATTTATCCTCAACAAAATTAAACACAAGAAATGATCATAGGCTGGTGCGATGCGAGCAATTCTACATGCCCAAAGAGGAGGCAAACTTAATAAGGGACACAAAATACAGTAGAACGGATGTGGAGAACCAATATAGCAGATCTTATTTGCAGATGTACAATGTTTATAACTACCCTATAGCATTCCTGGTCTTTTGTTTCACAGGATGGAAAAGCAACAGTGTTGAAACGTTTACACCATGGGAACCTCATTTGCCAGTAAAAATTGGTCCACGCCCGAGACAGCTTTCCTTAGAGCTTAGTCTCACATGGGTTGGACCAGATGACGCCAAAAGGCGCACAACTCAAAGACAATGCACCATCAGAGTTTTGTTGCCAGATAGAAGGGTAAAAACCAATTATCATATTTTTACTGGCAAATGAGGTTCCCATGGTGTAAAGGCTTACCCCGAGCTCTCATACTCTGATGGTGCATTGTCTTTGAGTTGTGCGCCTTTTGGCGTCATCTGGTCCAACCCATGTGAGACTAAGCTCTAAGGAAAGCTGTCTCAGGTGTGGACCAATCAACTTCAAGGACAGTGCACATTATCAGAGTTATGTCTTTTGTTTGTATTATGACTGCAGGTATTGCGGTCAATGCAAACATGACTCCTTGTAAAAAAGTGTCAGTTTTGTTTCCAGATAGAAGGGTACAAAACCAATTATCATATTTTACTGGCAAATGAGGTTCCCATGGTGTAAAGGCTTACCCCGAGCTCTCATACTCTGATGGTGCATTGTCTTTGAGTTGTTTGCCTTTTGGTGTCATCTGGTCCAACTCATGTGAGACTAGGCTCTAAGGAAAGGTGTCTCGGGTGTGGACCAATCAACTTCAAGGACAGTGCACATTATCAGAGTTATGTCTTTTGTTTGTATTATGACTGCAGGTATTGCGGTCTATGCAAACATGACTCCTTGTAAAGAGGTGTCAGTTTTGTTGCCAGATAGAAGGGTAAAAAAACAATTATCAGTGTTGAAACGTGTTTACAGTTGAATGCTAAGTATGTTTAAACAATCAAAGGAGGCAGTATATGCTGTTTGGATCGCAGATACATTTCTAGGATATTGCATGGATGGCACATTCGTCGGTGATGTGTTTCATAGTTTGGAATTCACCACAGTCACAGTTCGGCGATCTTTTGATAAGTCGCCGATTCATTGATTAATCGCCGAATGGTGGCTGGATGTTACCTACCTTGCCTGGTATACAGGAGGTCGTGGGTTTCATCCCGACCTCGATGTCTGTATCTTTGGAGTTTGCATGTTCTACCCGTCGTTGCGTGGATTTTTCTCTGGCTCCTCCGGTTTTTTCCACCCACATGTAGAAACATGCGTTTAGAGTATTTGGCTGCTGTAAATTTCCACGTGACAAGCCACTTCGTTGAGCTATCAATTGCGGCCAGGTCACTTCTGAAAAATAGCTATATAGCCCAGTGGGCTTTACCTGGTAAAACAAATATAGTTTCATAGTTTTGATATTCCGTTTGTGGAAGGTATACACACGCATATCCCACGTTGCATTCAAGTGGTTTAGCGAGATCTATGGTTGCCATGGGAGAGAGAAGCTAGGTGATTCCTCAATGAGATTTTTGTTTGCCACATCTTATATTGTCGCTGTGCCTAGCCTTGTTGAGAGTATATTTCGTTGCTAGACTGCTCTTCTGATTTGTATTTTGTTGCTGTCTTCGTGCAATCTCATAGATAGTGTTTTGCAAATCGGTCTTACATTCTGGAAAGCGTGTATTGTAAATGTGTGATATGTTCGCGTTTGATAGCTTAACCAAGGTGGAAGACATACTACATTCTTAGCAGAGTTGTAATATAAACATGATGTGAATTTCAAGACTTTATCTTATACTTATATCTGAAATTTTTACACTATTTTTCCAATGTTAATTGGGGCTTGTTTCATCTTACGTTACATATCATGTCATTTTATATACATCATTAGCTACTGTTGTATTCTTTATACTGATAATATATCCACAACAATAAATTACAATGACAAGAATTGAGACTTACGATAATACAAAAAGATCTTGAGTCTATATATGGGTTATCACATGTGCATATAAGCGATCACTTTGAATTAAGAATCATAATATATTTATCAGCTTCTTGGTTCTTTCGGTAAAGTCACGTAGAATGGAAATAATAAAATAATAAAAATAAAACATAATACAATAATTCTCACAACGTTTCGGCCACAACGCAAGCAGCCGTCCTCAGGTGAAGAACAGGTCTGTCAGAAAGACAGCGTCTAAATGAACACCACCAGGTTTGGCAGCGTATATTTAAGCTGGGTTGGAGGGGGAAGAGCGCCTTGACAAAGGAATTTGCATATCAAGAGGAATTTAGCATATTTATGGGAAATGCAGGTATGTTATTAGTGCTACTTATGCCCGTGCATTATGCAGGATTAGCAGCATCAAAGGGAGGGGATATGGGAAATGCAGGTATGTGATTACTACTACTTATGCCCGTGCATTATGCAGGATTAGCAGCATCAAAGGGAGGGGATATGGGAAATGCAGGTATGTGATTAGTACTACTTATGCCCGTGCATTATGCAGGATTAGCAGCATCAAAGGGAGGGGATAGGGGTAGCATTAATAAAGGGAAGGAGTGTTAATAGTATATAATTTAATGTTGGGTTTGTTTATGGCAGTATATAGTACGGTGTAGACTCGTGTGATGTAAGAGAATAAAGTTTAGATGAAAGCATAGTATATGTTTTACGACGTAGAATTGTAATGTATTACTTACTGTTAGTAACTCAGCTTATTGTAGAGTATATTTAGTATACTGATGATACTATGTAGTTTATACTTTAGTTGTTTACGTAGTGGTTTTAGTTACTGCAGCTACATACTACAGTGACATAAACTATAACTCATGTAGATATAATAAAAACACATGTAAATCGGTTGTATTAAATATACATAGCTTCTACGATACATAACATTTATTTTATTATATTTGTGTCAACAAAACATCCCAATAATATGTCTATGTCATTTGAAACAAATTCGGATAAAAGATGTGCTTGTGAATTAACAAGTTTATTTAACATTTTCTGAAATGTTCATGGGAGCTGTGTGGTGAGATACTGCAGCACAAAATAATGTTTGGTGCCATTGTGGAGAATGTAATAAAAAAGATAAGCAGATTATCTCATTCGTCTCTCCACATAATATATACAAGTATTTGTTAACACTACCCATCAGCTGCACGCCCTTCTTGGAGTGCATAATGTCAGCAGCATTAATCACTCATCTCACAATGCACAGGTTCCGTTCAACTTTCACTCGAGGGTTGATACAACCCATTATCCATCTGAGGTTGATTAAACAAGTACCACTGGGACATTGATATTGTTTTTTGGTGACTGGTCCCTGCCATGAAACATTAAACTTGCCTAAGGGCCTCCATTAACATCTTCACCATTCAATATTCATATTGCCCATCCCATGTCGTATATTTTGAGGCACCGTGTAGCATGGGACCCCCTGTGGCAGCTTTCACTGTGTGGCTCAAGGTAAAAGACACACCAGCCTGAAAGCGGGCATGAATCTACCAGTGACTGGTACTGTTGCAATATGCCTTTCACAATTAAGCAATTTGCGAGAGATATGTATATATATATCAAATTTTGACCATGGCACGGGTACACTATTTTTCAAAGAACGTCGTGGATTCTCTAACGTCCACCATTGAGTGGACAGTGCATGTTTAATGGTTTATACAAGCCAGCGTGCTCCCTCTACGCCTCATCACTACACATGTAGATATTGACGATGACGACCACCACTCCACACATGTTTAAGCTGGGAGTCACTTCGACTTTGAATTACCCACGATTAATTATCCACTCCCTGCTCGGGGGGTGTGGGGTGGCAGGGGTGTCGGACGGTGGGGGTGTGTAGTTGTGCGGTGCTGTGACGCGCATCTTTCTGCCGGCGCGCCAGGTGACCGAGTCGTGCGACTACGTGTACGTGGACGGGCGAGAGAGCGCCGGCTCCACCCGTGCGCACATCCAAGTGACCCACGAGCACTTGCGGGCGGGGCTGGAGCTGGCCGTGTGGCTGCCACGGCTGCCGCTTCACATCCAGCTCTCCCACTCGCAGCTCAGCCAGGTCAAGGGCTGGAGAGTGCCCATATTTTCTGAAAGCAGGTATGGCAAAAAAATGTCAAGTGGAATTAATTACACTACATGTGCGTTACTGCCTGTCTCATTTGTATTGTTTACCCGGACACATAGGTTTTGGTATTTCATTGATTCATACATTTTGGTTGTGAGAATTGTTATTCAACGAAACGGGAAGCTATAATATAATAATTAGTGCGTTAAGCACATATCCAGGTGCCAATTACAGTTGTTCAACAATTCATCAAATATGAATTGAAGTATTACTTATATAGAATACGTCTAGTAATGATAATGTACAGCCTTTTATCATTTAATTTCCGGGGTACAAACTCTCATACTGCTGAACTAGTAACTAATTGTCATGTTTTGTTCACATGGCAAACCTTACTAATTAGCTGTTTTGGGTGGTGGCGGGTTTAGGGACGCATTTATATTTAACCCCAAAAATGTGCCTCTATATTAGTCGCGAAAGCCTACGTGTTAAACTGACAATGTTTCACTTATAAACAGCATGGCAGAAACTTGGCCCTCCATAGAGGCTTTAGTTAATTCACATAAGGTATTAAAAAAAAGCACCGTTGAGGTACACCTGTGTAAATTATATGCTGCTTTAAGCCTAAGCGTTTAGAACAATGTGACCTGTCTAGTCCCCTAACTCCACCCCTTTATGTAATGGTTGTGATCAGTTGAGCATGCTGCATTTTTAAAGGGATGTACTGTGCACTAAAGCGAAGGTGTAAACTATGCCCTCTTCATAATCAACGTTTTTGGGTTTAGATCGCGTTATTTATAAATGTGTCGTAACCCTCCACCACCCGACACGGCCAATCAGTAAAAATGTGTCACGTTGACAAAGACAAATAGTTCACTGCTTTAGCCCACCGGTGTGTTGAAGCCACAACATTTACAATTTGAGTACGACGTTTCGCTGGTAATTGCAACCAGCATCATCGGGCAATTCGCCAGAATGGTCGGGTGGTGGAGGGTTACGACACATTTATAAATAACGCGATCTAAACCCAAAAACGTTGATTATGAATAACATTGGTCGCGAAAGCCTGCTACGTGTTAAACTATGCCCTCTGCTCTCATTAACAAGAGAGGCTGTTGTGTGCTTTGTCATGACTAAATGTTTTGCGAGAAATGTTCCCTAATTACCATTGTTGGTAAGTGCAGAGAGCCGTGAACCACCTTGTAGATGATTCGTATGAATACATTAAGCAGTTGCGCTCCCAGGAGGTATGCTTGCGTCCATTGGGTTTCACTTAAATAGCACCCATACTGTGCTTTCAAAGGCCCTCATGATATTGCTTTCGTATTGTGTAAGGAAATGATGGTTCCTCTATGCATTTCACAGATGATACGAGGCTTTACATGTACACTTCTTTGTTCCCAATGTTACCCTTATTGTGGACTTAAAATATGTGATGCACTCAAATTAATTAGTCTTTTTTTTCCTAACTTGACATTTCAGAATCGGAATCTTTATTTAGACTGGAGGAATCCGATGAAATACGAATCTCTTTTTCACAGATGTCCAGTAGAAAACATTGTTGGCGACCAGCAGTCCAAAGCCATTACATTACTCAAAAAATAAAAGTGGTCTCCCACTCAAATGAGCATGGGACATTGCGCACTTCCTGTTAATCAGTCCAGAGCCAGTGGTGGAAATTCTAATATGAGTTTTCTGGTGGCAAGTGTTTTATAGAACCAACTATTTTGACTTTCCCGTGAAGTGGTTCTCATTGTATCAACTCTACGTGGAACAAAAGGCTGAGTTAAACCTTTACACGGAATTGGACCTTGCACCTTAACATTCGCAAGCCGCAGATTCTTCTAACGTTGTGCCACATGGCTTCTTACTGGTTGCTATATATTTCCTCCTCCTCAACATAAGAACGATTCGAACTAATTATGTTCCGATGGCTGTAGAAAGAGCCCATTTCAATTACAATGAGGGGTTTTAGCCAACTCTTGGTTATGGACATTAGAGCCAGTGCAAGTCATTGCTTATGGTACCATTAACATTGGTTCAACATCTTCTTCTGCAGCTGAAAATGAAATAAAGCACAAATCACTCTGTTCTAAATGTGAACCCAGACGTAGTTATATTACGCTATTTCCTATCCAGACACTCCTTTATTTGCTCATGAAAGTACTGTAGAATCTACAAGGTACCCTTCTAAATTGCTTGAAAATGCATTATATTTATAGCATTTGTTTATTTTGTTCATATTAGTTTAAAATACAAATTTCCTTTTCATGAATTTTTAAATATCAATGATTTGTAATGCTGGAAACTGCCTGATGATGCTGGTTGAACTACGAGGAAAATGTCCGTACCTAATTTTTGATGTTGTGAATCACTCCAACACACGGTGGTACTGCTGAAGTATTGCCATGTTTGTTCATGTGACAACTTTATTAATTGGCTGTACTGGGTGGAGAAGGGTATATGACACATATTTTATGAATGTGATCTGAAACCCTCAAAAAAATCAATTGTGAATCAATAATATTGGCTGCAAAAGCGTACTACGTGTTAAATTTACAAGATCAATGTTTGCAACTATTTCAACCAGCCCAAATAGATATAGATATAAAAGATAACTTGCGACAAGCGCTTTGTGTAAGGGATTTGTACATTTTGTCACGGATTATGTTTACGTCATAACTGACATTGGTATGCTCATGTAGGACCATAGATGTTACAGGTGCCGCTTCATCTCTTGAGGCTTTGATGAGAGATAGCAGAATGACCTCTGCAACCCAACAGCAGAGACATTCTTGAACTTATTTTATTGGAATGGAAAGCCATGTAGGTGCTTTTTTATATTATAGTAATATAAAGTGGTTTTGAAGCAAAACATCAAAATGCCTGTCAAATAATGTACGCCAAGGTTAAAAGTGTCTAGACTGCAAGACATCACTTTAAACAGCCACAAAAGCCTGCGAGCCTCACCAGAATACATATGTGTACATGCATTAGCAGCAGTCATATCTATGTGACTTTCCTAACACAATGGGTGTTACTATGATACAGGCATACAGTACTTTAAAAAATCACCTGTTGATGTTTTTTTTTATTATGCATATATATTTCCCCCAAGGGTGGCCTTATCAGCTGCAAATTATGCAAGTTTGATACAGGTATCATAATATCCAAATGCACTGGAAATGGGCAATATCTTTGAATAATTAAATAAGTTCCAAGGATGTGAACTCCATTTGGTGTACTGTGTCCTTTGACTTGCATTATTAGACTTGGCCAAGATGAACCAGGTTCTGGTTAGATTTGATAACACTTTTGATTTTATAGAGATTGGTAAGATTCCTGTTCCCTCGACCATATCTACTATCCTTTGTCTGATACGATTTCCCTACTTTTGCTCTCCAAGGAATAATAATTTATACTGGATTATATTTAAAAAAATCAACCACCCGCATGGACATAGTTATGGTACGTTCCTAGCAATTGTGGGTATGGAGCATTTTGAGCCATATTCTTCAGAGCAAGGAGGGGGGATTTGAGGCCAGATGGTCCCCCCTCATACAACACCTGAAATGAGCAAGCCGTATGGGGAGTCGGGAGATGTGGACTGATGATACGGGGTATAACCCCTATGGACTAGATAATGGAATGGGCTCAGATGGGTGGAGGGAAAGTATGATCGCTCTTTAGTCGCCTTTGATGGTTTTTATTTTATGGTGATTTGGTTAGACCCCTTTCTTCCCTCGTCACCCACCTTTCCTTCCTTAAATACCTACTTTAACCCTTCCGTAGGGCCGTATTATTCAATCGGCACAGTAGGTACCATCCCTTATACGTACTGTGCCTAGGGCCTACAAAAACTAAAGGGCCTTTGAAAACAAAATTACCACTTTTTTTGTTTGTATGATCAAAAAATGTAACGAAGATATATTAAAAAAAATATATATTCATATGGCTGTTCGTTGCAATTTCTTTGCAGTGGTAACAAGTTGTTGACTCGTTTTAAGTGAGGCATGTTACGCCTAAAATAACAGTCAAACAAATATTTAAGCTGAAACTAAAGTAAAACAATATGGCGTTTGCCATGCGGTCGTCCTGTCAGAACATTGAATTTGTTATCGATGAAAATGAACGGCATCCTTTTAAAGCTGCGTCATCCGATATGATTATGATAATCATAGTAAAAAATAGTTTAAGAAATTTTTCAGTTAATATTTTTAGGCTTACCTTGTGTTTTTCAAAAATTTCTAATTTAATCTGCTTAACCGCGGCACGCAGCACGCTTTCATATAATTAGGAAACAGACTACATAATGAACGTATCAGTAACGACATTGTCCAGCGGCTGGACAAAGTGCGTGTGAAACAAGCGAGTGGCAGTGGCCGTAGTAACATGGGCAGCAGCAGTACCAACTGGAGAAAGTTATCACTGAAGGCCTTTGAAACAGAAGTGTCTAGGGCCTACAAGAACCTTAATCTGGCCCTGGTACCCTGCCTTGTGGGGGGCAGCAGGGCCTGCTCCCTTTTCTCTTTACCCCTTGCTCTCTACAACCGGGTTTGCTCATGTCGACGGGTTCGAACGCGCGTGATGTAACAGGCCTGCTTATTGCCTCAATAATTTAACACTTTTTAGGAATTTTTTTTTTATATTTAATTACCAATTGCTTAATGGTGGCAGGCAATCATCTGACCCATAGGTGGCAGCCATCTCAAGCCAGAGGAAGAGAGGACTCTAGCCGCCCGTTTCAAAGACCAATGTGGGCTGGGTTGTGGCCCATTGAACACGTACTGTAATTGATTGTCTTGCTCTTTGTAAGAAACTGAAAACACAGCAAGGTCCTCCTGTCATGGAATGTAATGTAAACCAATCGAAAGCAAACAACAATAAACGTGTGCCTATTTTATGTATTGCTGTTTTACAGTTCGTTCTCATTTGATGGATTTTGCTTCACAAAACTGTCACCATCGTGATGATGACGCAAATGTTGACTAACCACATGGCATGAATTCCCTGCCCCCACGCTGTACAGTGG